TCAGTGTTACACCCGATAATGGAATTGGAATGCAGATGCAAATTGTTACGATTCCCCTAACATTCACTATGACATTCAAGTTGTTACGTCAATTAAATGTCCACCATCACATTACGATGCAGCTACGAACTTTTTTAGGCTACGAACGACTATAGAGAACGCTGTTAAATGTCCGCATGCGACAGTCGTGTAAAACTGAGCTATGTCTTCTTTAGTGGTCTGAGGCTATGTCAACTATCTAGAGTAAACCACATTATAACCATTTATCTTATTTGTATGTCTGTATAAAGCGATGCACATACGTGACTTAATGCTAAAGACCTTGTTTGGACCACGCGCTGAGATAACCTGGACAATACTGAAATGTACACATAAGCAGCAAACTGTCTGTATAAAGTTCATTACATAATACGAGCATGGCCGCACCGATTAAGCACGTCTACAGTTATACATACATTGATTGTTGTGTACGTGTATGATTATGAATTACCGCTTGGGGGAGTAAACTATTTTGGAGGAGACAGGGGAAATCAGAGAAAAGAACCATACATTTTGCCCACCGTGCCCATGGCAAGATATATGACGTCATCTTAGTGTCATAACAAGTTATAAAGGCATTCAATTGCTCACTTCATTTTCAATTGTTTCTTTTCAGACCTCCCTCGGTTGTGGGCTACCTCTGCTACCATCTGGGATCAACCTGAGGGCAGATTGATAATGCAAAATATCCAATCCATCATCAGTCTGTCTTAATTTCGCTATTAATGGAGTGATACCTACACGTTTATCTAATTCTGAATTAGGTATTCATGCCAAAATATACCAAGAATTCGTTTTGAAAGACTTCCATTCTATGATTGGTGATTACAGTCACGGTGTAGTTGTTTTTGATGAACATATTCTACAATTTAGGAATCTGGAAAATCATTCAGGTAAATAAACTAGGGGTAGATTTAGAAAAGGAAACAAAGACAATTTACACAATTCCTTTATCGTCCCACAGAGTTTAATGTGCCACACGTTTCGCTTATATATACCACATAGACATTCATAGACATATATCAAATTCGAATAACCTAATAAGCTTGTATATGTATATATATATATATATATCCCCATCACATTATTATATAGTACTTATATTATCTATTGACGCCCTCTTCATCTATATTTTCATACATATTTTGTAATATAAATTTATTTCTTTTCAATAATTAATTTGTATGATTGTAATGGACCGGAAGCCATTATACAATTAATAATAAATCATATATAGTAGACATACTCATGCTGAGGAAAGGATAGATAATATTGCACTAATAGTGGAATCGTACCACGTATTCTGAATCGTGAGGAAACTAAAAAAATATCTATAAATAGCTATGTTATAATGTTTTATAATAGAGCATGATTTGTGGAGAAGAGGTCGGCAGGGGGGGGGGGGTATTATATTACCAGAATGCACGAAGCGAACACTTAAGATGGTAGAAGTATTACGAGTACAATAATGTCACGTGTTGATAGCTGCCGAAATGAATAAAAAAATGTATTGCTGTGCAGCATACAGCATAAATATAGACAGTTTCATTCTATAGACACCATAGAAAACTCCATGGAAGATGTCGTGTAAGTTCATACTCAACCTGACGCATGCGCTGTGCAAAACTATTCGCTTCACTGTTAAAAAATAGACGTTACGTTATTTGAGGCTGGTAACACATTTCTTGGTAAATTCTGCATCGGTGGGTACAGATTTTGCAATCTTTTCATGCGATTTAAATTTCGAACAGGCTGCTCCGAAACTGTGACTTGTTCAAGTTTTCCATTTAGATTCATATATTACGAAGACAGACATTCGCACCAAAATGTTTCAGTGCAGTTGTTACTACTTGGTGGCCAGGGTCTGCATGTTGCTATGGATTGTGCAATCGATGATTTATTTGAGCGTTGAATCCAAAGGTATGTATTAACATTATTAGTCACACCAGAACATGAAATTTGATCATTAATATTACTTGTGAATGCACAACATATAAACTCGTTAAGAGGAATTAACCTAAATTTGTATTTATATTTAAGTGTTGCCTGTAAGTTAATAGTACCGATGAACACACTCAGATATAACTATAATTTTTCTAAGGTCTATGGCTAAAGCGCGGTGGTCGTCGCGCAGCGCGTGTTCGAATTTCATGTGAATAGACAATGTATTTTACACACGTTGTATACGTCGCTATGAGTCCCAGTATCGAACAGGGCGCGGCACGACGACTGCCGCCCTTTGAATATAATGGCGTAGATAACAGATGAGTTCACTGTGTTTACATGCACACCACCTGATAATATCTAATCACCTTAGGAATGTACATATTTACGTAATGTGTTCACCCGTATTGGCAGAGCAGTATCTGTTGATTTACATTGTGCAGGCTAGTAATACACCAGGGGTAAACTTTGTGACACTCATCAATAGAAATCAGCATCGAATTTGCATCTATAACTGGAACCTTGAGTAAAAAAAAAAGTGTTCTACTGTGAGTAAAATAAAACTAACTATATTACGCAAGTCTCATATGTTCAGTGACGGTAACTTGTTATTTCCTGTTTTTACTTGCCTCCACAGGTGGCTTAGTCATAATAGTACTTTGGAGGTGTTAGCAATTATATGACAGAACGAAAATTGTTGTCGTTCGTTTTGCCGAATATAATGAACCTAAACACTAGAACAAACACTAGAATTCTCATAGCACCCAAAATTGTTAACCTCTATTCAGTGGGGGTTTTAAATTGAAAGGTGAAATGTTTTAGATAAACAGATAAACACTTTCTGGTTTGAAATATTCAGCATACCCCAGTACTTGAATGAATGCTGATACAAGACCGACATGAGTTAACATGGTCAGATGGTTGTCAACAATCACTGAGATTTATTTATTAAATGACCACACTTCCTAAAATGATGACTACACAATATTATTTTTGCGATAATTGTTTGAAAATGATCAATATGAAAGTTTTCGTTATATACTCCAAAGAGCGTTTTTTTTTTTTTTTGAAATCCCATAATACGTGTATTTATATTATGCGGAGTTTACTTTTTCCAATTCTCGCAACCTTACCAACCAACGCGCAAGTTCCGTTCTCTGCTTTACTTCCGCTTCACGAGGATTCCGCAAAACTAACCTAGGTGCCGTATAGAGTTTTCGGTTTTAAGATGAAAAGCCACTAATGTTTGCTTTGTTACTATGGGAATGTATGACGACCGCTGATAGAACTGATATATATCAATATTCACAGATTGTCAGTCAGGATGGGAGGATTATGGAACATACTGTTATTACTTTAGTAACAGTGAAAAAGAATGGTTACAGTCGAGGGATTGGTGTTTATCTAGAGATGGCGAACTAGCAAGCATCCATAGTGAAAGTGAAAATGTAAGACACGTTTACCTTAATTTTCACTGTCGTTTTGTATTTGTGATTAAAGTGGGGTGGTCGTCGCACTGTGCGTGACCGACATTTATGTTGATCAACATCGATTTTCCCAAAATCCAATGCGCTCTTCTAATGGAAATCACGAGGGTTGATCTGGGTACAAGGTCGCTAATTACCACCGGTGACTCCTTCGATATTTTCACCAAAGAAATTACATTGTCACGCTTACTAACGTCTCAATTTGTGCTTGTTGGTTGCAAAACAGTCAATGTCGCCATTTTTGTTCATATGAGTCCCATATCTCGCGCATGCGTGGCGCGACAACCGCCGCCCTTTAACTCAAATTGTGGTTCATCAATTGAGCTAATGCATCAAATTATCCTGTTAGCCCAACTCTCTTATATACTCGAACTTTGTTAAAGTCATTATCACACAAGAAACTTGCCACGGGTGAAGAAAGTATAAGGCTCTATTAAAAAGTATAATGATTTGTATAATTTGGACCACATCTAGAAACAAAACAAAAAAACATAAATCCAAATAATAGCTTTTATGTGTAAAATGTGACGTTAAACTGCCAGACATTATACATGTATTTAACTGTTCAAAGATGACTGTAGAAGATGTAGAAGAGTCAAATTCGCTAAAAAGGAATGTAGCTATTTCATATTTCTTTTCAGGAAATGTTTTTGTGAGAGAAAACGGCGACTTATCTGCTTACAGTTAATGATGGTTTCCACACTGGCAGGAACCATATTCTATCTTTGGACCATTTTTGTTATACTAACACTTTGGAAAATAAATGCGGCCGCTACCATCAATCAAATAAGTTTCTCCCAAAGTCACTGTCAAAGTCAATTGATACTGAAATTCGATTTGATCCCCCGGTTTTGAGTCGATGGTTCACTTACTTTTTATTGTTCATTCCAAGGTAAAATTAAAATTGGGTCTACCGTTCATGAGTTTGATTTTGAGAAGACGATAATATAATTAGTCGTATCAATTTATTTATGGTATTTACCATAATTTATTCAAACATGTAAATATTTATAACAGTTTACGTCTGTTGCCCGTGTCTTTTAAGGCCAATCATACACAGAAAGGTTGCGAAATTTGCTGCCAAACAAAGTATATATTGTAAATGTATTTTCGCTATATAATGAGAGGAAAATTCGGGCGATTTGCAGCTCAAACCTAATTGATTAGTGTTTCTTCAGGCATTTCATAAAATGTGTGGAGCATCTTTAACATAGCTCATAAAGGAAAAACAGGAAAGCAACACGGCTACCGGAAGAGTCAGTCTATCATCTTTCTTCGAAGGCTTCTCTGTGATGTTCATTGAACATCGTAATTAAAAATTGCATGCCGAATACTACTACCACTTCAAACTGTTAATACGTATTATTTGGCCGCCTATCATATTTTACGGTTTATCTATATGTCACGATAAATTATTATTTACTCAGTGATGTAATAATGATGTAACTCAGTGACAAATAATTGTCATTAACAAAACCAATGTTATTTCATAACATAATTTAATACATTAAATATTACAATTTGTTCACTATGTGTGCACAGTCTTGGATAAAAAGTAGAATACAGGACACAACTTGGATTGGTTTTAATGATCTTTACAAGGAGGGCTTATTTCTTTGGAGTGATGGAACTGAGGTTGATTACAGGTAAGTGGCCTGATTCGTTCTACACCATCAGTTAAATTCAAGTCAATCCATCTTTCTGTTCGTCCAATATTCCATTTTTTAACAATTTCCCAAGTTTCCAGAATAAATCAGCCAACAGGCTAGGACAATTGGTTCCAAACAAACATTTGATGTATAACTTTAGTTCGTAGATCAATTCACTGTCAGCGAGTTTGCTATATTTATGAATGTTCATTGCGAAGATGCGCATCTTATATCTGTCAATATTTCCTTAAAGTAATTGGGATAAAGGTGAACCAAACAATGGCAAGTTGTTCGGTTCTGCTGAACACGTCGTTGAAATGCTCACTAACGGAGAATGGAATGATGTTGCTGATACTGAGAAATATTATATATGTAAAAGGATTGATGGTAATATTTGTTTAATATTATATCCAATTTCTACAGTAACATATATCATATCTAAACTAAGTGAAATATTTATTTATTTCCTTTGTGAATGATATTTCTCAGCAGGATGTATAAATAACATATAATTGTCTAATGATTATTATTTTAATTTCGCACATTTTGTATTATTACATTTCCTCCGTGAGTAGACCCCGCGACCATCTATCACTTTCCAACAGACACGTCGGCACTCCGGTATGAAGAGGTTACATTTACCTGCATGGCCACTGGCACACCAAAGGCTGTAACGTACCGATGGTATAAAGATGATATCAGACTCAGATCAGATGGAAATAAATACTATATTGATGATGGATTACTTCGTATAAAATATATTGCACTGTCAGATGACGACGATTATCTGTGCGTCGCTGACAATGGCGTAGGAGAAGATGATGATGCAGTTGCACACCTTGATGTACAGTGTAAGAATTGTATATTTATTTATTTATTTATTTATTTATTTATTTATTTATTTATTTATTTATTTATTTATTTATTTGTATGCTGTGTTACTGTGTAATACATGCGATTGTTATAATACTGTAAAAACTATTTATTTTTACGGGCATTTGGTTTCACTATTTTAAAATATTGAAAATATTCTGTGGGTTTTACATTTTAAAAAAATTACCAGTAACTTAAAAACAACTTCTACTACTTTCTACGTATCGCCGGAAATAGCGAGATTAAACCCCGGTGAATAAGTGAAACATTCACAGTAAATACTGCAAAATTCACACGTACAATTTCGTTCAGTAAATCAAATTAAACAAATTGTCACTTTGAACGAACTTGAAATTGCGTTAATATATGTCGTTTTAAGTAACATACTCATTACGGGCGACTTCAAAAAAAGATTCAAGATGTAACAAATATCACCTTCATAAAAAAAAATAAAAAACAAAAGTAAAAACAAATAATATTCTAAATAACAGCGTCTGTAACTCTAACTTCTGTTAAAGACCCACCTGTGGCTGAAACAGATGGTATAGTGGCAGTTCGAGAAGGGCTGACGACCAATATTTTATGCAAAGTAACTGACGGCAACCCGCTACCTTGCAGTGATTCTGCTCGATGGAAAAGGCCCGAAGACACAGTATTCAATACAGATAACCCATTACAAATACATAATATTCAACGTAACCAAGCTGGTATTTATTTATGTGAAGTAACCAATACATATTATAATGGTGACCAAGGTCAAGGGTCATCAGAATCCAATGTCATAGTTGAATGTAAGTTTTAAAGAGACTGCACTATCTAAAATCATTTTATCTTTGGAAATTGATTGTCCTCACCAGTACATCCGGGTACAACCACTCACTGGAGGACAGTGTATTAGACATGGTATTATTACGCTTAGGTACTCCATATTTCCAGCTATTACTGGTGATTTACTTTATCGATTCCATTTTTCCGAGCGATTATCCTGGTAATTGTGACCAACAAATTATTTTGCTGCGTATATTTTATGTTTTTTTTTGTTTTTTTTCATTTTCATAATTGAATATTTTGTTGGTCAAATCAAATATATCACCTATGTGTACTACTGTAAAATACTTTATTTTCCCCGAAGGAATGGTCCAGTGACAATAAAATCCAGCGAATATACCTTTTCCTTATATTTTACATTCAACTCGTCAAAAATCAGTGAAAATAAATTCATTGGCATTTTAGCGTTGACGCGATGACACACTCGATATCAGGCACGCTGAATAAACCTCTTGTAATAACGACTTATTCAAAATGTTCTTTCAAATTGATTCACCATGTTTTCAAAATAAAAAAAAAATTGTTATTAACACACACACAAAAAAAAAATATATATATATATATATAAAATCTAATCAACAACTGAATTCTTTAAAACCGATATATTATGTTATGCATAAGCCAACAAGTTCGCAACCAATCATATGAATCAGATATCTTGTGTGAAAACTTACAGATCCCCCAGATGTATATGTCCCGGATGTGTACTCTGTTATTGTTGGTAATGACGTCATTGTTAACTGCATGGTTGACGCTGTGCCTAACGCAGATATTAAGTGGATATCATTTAACGATCGGGAAAGTGAAGGAAAAACTCTGACTCTACAAAACGTACAAAAGTCACACGACGGTATTTACACATGCCATGCTACGAATACGTTCACGTCAGAACCCATAGGACCAGGAACCGGGGAGAACACTACCCATATCGACGTCCAATGTGAGTATGACCTCTTGATGACCTGTCATTGAATGTAATTCGTGATTTCAGTTTGTATTTGAAAAACAGCATGTTCTTAGTTAAAGCGGGGGAGTCATCGCCTGCGCATACGCAGATGGCCATAGCGTGTCATTGTTTACAAAGAAGCGTCTACCCACGAGCCTTTGCGTTTTTAGCGTGTGTTGTTATCGTCGCATGGGACTCAATTCCCGCGCGTGCGCAAGTGACGAACCTCCTGCTTTAAATTGTGGTGATCGTCACGTCGCGACGTACACAGTGCGTGTAAAATACATTGTTTACTGGTACACTGCGGTGCGACTATCGTCATTTAAATACATATTTTCTGTTAGATGGACCTGAGGTGTCGGTGAAGGATAGGTTTACTGTGGCTGAAGGAGCTGCCGTGTCAATTGAGTGTATAGTTGACGCTAACCCCGCTGCTGACGTAGTGTGGACGAAAGGTGACATCATTATACAAGAAGGTAATCAACTCAATATCCCGGGAATCAGCAGACATCAGTCTGGTGAATATGTCTGTGTTGGTAGAAATACGTTACTTGATGGCGAAGAATACACAGACGAGGCAACCACATGGATTGATATTATGTGTATGTATATATGATATACATGTATATTGACGCGTCTTACAAACTACAGTATTATTATTCACAATATCTCTTCAGAAATTCACGCTTAACATCCTCTCTCATATTCTAATCTGCTCAATGCATTCATACATACATGTCACGTGTTAGTAGTTTCGTAATACTAGTAAATCTGAAACTGGGATCACTAGGACTAAACATTTAAACTCTTTGCATGAGCTAGGTGTTTGCCATTGTTATAGTGTTTTTTCAATTATGTACATTCACTGAATGAACATAACACGTTGTAATTTTCATTTGATATATAACCAGAGGCGGTGGCACGAAATGTTGCATGAGTGAGCGAGATCTGATATCTAGACCCTCTGGAACGATATTTCCTGCATTTTGAGTGGCAAATTTTGCTAGCACAAAAAGTTTCAGCTTGATTTGGGGGGGGGGGCGCCCCAACATGTTTTTTTCCGGGTGGGCGACCGCCATTCTGCCCCGGTGCCGCCGCCACTGATAGCAGTGTTTTTGCATAGACCTTAAAAATACATTTTTAAGGTTTATGCAAACTTAATAATTGAATTTTGGTGAGATCAAACAAAAATCCAGCTGCCTAAGTGATGTTTGTATCAGCGGAGTGATCCTTTATTCAGTAAATGTCCAACCACTCGTTTAAATGTACTACTGGAATTTGAATCAGTTTCATTGACATTAACAGGGGAGCCTGAGCCTGCCACTGATCTTACCGTTACTGACACAACCGAAACCACAGTGAGTATTTCTTGGACTGCGGGGTTTGATGGCGGAGCCTCTCAGCAGTTTTGTTTAGTGTATTCTGAGTTACCAACGAGTCAAACTCAACGAACACGCTGGACAGCACATACTGAACAAACCATCACAGCACTTTTTATTGCAACAGAATATGCGATTGAAGTGGTGAGTGAGAACTGGATTGGAAATGCAACTTCTGGATCGATAACGGAAACTACATTAGGTAAGCAACGAAAGAACTTATGATGTATACATGGAGTTAAAAAACGATTGTTTTCATAGTATTTCTGCGTTTTGCCCAAAAAACTATATTATAGGATATATGTATTTGTGTCTTGTATAAACCAACAATCCGAATTATAAAAATAAAAAAAAATCAATTATAATTCTTCTACATTTTATAAATGAAATTCAAAATAATTAGTGATTACAAATGATAAGCATTTTTTCCCCATCGTTTTGCCAAATTTGATTTACTGTCTCAACACAAAAGATAAACAAAAACATCAGGGCAAATTTTGTTTACCATAACTGTAATGCAACCATGAGTTAATGACATTTCTTAACTTAAAATTAATCTCGTTCTTAGATACGAAATTTAAATGAACGTGTCAACTGCAAAATGAGATATGTCAGAGATTGTGTAAACACTTCTGATATTAAGGAAAAGTCGGCCTATTTTGTGTTTTGAAGATAACAGTGACTACATCATACAGTTATGTCGGTATTCATGAAGCCTAATTGGTAGATTAATGGCGCCCGTAGTGGAAACTATGATATTGTTTATCTAGTTGTCTAATACATCCGAGTACCGTTGAACTGATCGGAATAGACCATTTTCCGTTCACTGCGAGAATCACGCGTTATGCGTGAAATCGAACGTAAAAACAGGACAAACAAAAGTCATAGCGTCGTAGTCGCGTCAAACATCGCGTGGGATTCGACAAACGCGAAAGTATTTCGGGGACATTTCCATGCTCAATAATGTGCTGTCCACATTTGATGATAGGCAATTTTGATTAAGTAAGGGTATTCGGAAGCAATATTCCTCTGTCGAAAATCGGCCGGTCAATGTAAGCTACGAAATAAAGAAATTCTAGTTCAAAATCAAATCGTTCGATTTTTGCGGCAGACGTTCGACGCGCGTCTTTCATGCATCTCGCGAGATCTCGCAATTGTACGGAAAATCACCTATTATTATTATTGCTTACACAGGGAATCCATTATCTATTCTTGTGGTGGTTTTACTCGTATTTATAGTGATTCTTGTCGGTGTCATTCTATTTGAGGCACTTTTCATCTTTAAACAGCGCAAAAGTACTGAATCGGCAAAAGGTGAGTAAACATATGTTTAATACTTGTCTTGACGTTCCAATTAATACCGATGATGTTTGTTAACGCAGCAATAAAATATATAAAACACACTTCTCATTTACAGATGACACGGAATTAACAAAAAGGTAAGTATTAGTCAAACAACTATCTTAAACTCGATTATATATATAACTGATATTCACTTGATTTCGCATTGCTCTAAGCTCTCCTGGTTCTATGGTTAATAATTCAATATTGTCATCAAAAGTACCATTAATTTAGTAAATGTTGTATTGACGTGCATATATATCTAGAATTAACAGACCCATTGAACAAGATGGAACACCTATCGACTCGTCTAATATATATACCATAGACTCATCTAATCTCTATATGGATCTCGTATTCAATAACTCACTGGCAAGCGACCAAGGTTTGTTCTAGTTCACTTTATTATATTGTATCTGCAGTAAAATGTGGTTCTTACGATGCTTTCAATGTATTTCTGATATTATAAATTGATGACGAGTAATGACAATGCAATGTGCATTTATATTTATTGCAAAATTGTTATTGACCGATTTGTTTATCATAATACTAGTCTACCATATAGAACGAATGGACAATGTGTGTGTTGTTGAATTGTCCTGAAGTTATAGAAACAAAATATAATAATATAATATTCACATTCAATCAGTCATTTTAGTGTGATGTTGTTAGTCACATTGTTAACCCGAATCAGTTCGACGTGCCTTCGATATATATATATATACGGCGGTAATAGAGGAATTAAAACACAACATTAAGCTTCTGATGAGTGGGGTACTTGTACGCTTCCAAACAGTTCTGTAGAGTAGTTGTGTCTTAATTTCTCTATTACCATATATATATAAGTACTTCTCTTTGTGAATGTGTATATCGTGTAATAAACATATTACATATTAATTTCATATCCTGTCTCTCCTAGACTACACAGATCTACGGCCTGCATTGCATCGAAATGAGGTAAATAGAGTGTTCTCAACTATTCACATCAATCGACATATGTGCCTTATAAAATATTCACTTTGTAATATTTTTGTTTGCAGGAAGACACCGGCAGAACTGAAAATATTTACGTCAATTTAGAAATGTTGTAGATGTATTAATCGCACATCGGACAACTTTTACACGTGGTTTACGTCAGAGTCGGTACCCAAATCGAGACATTTTGTTTGGAAATCTACAGTTGCTATTGAGAAACTAGCAATATATTTATATTGCTGGAATGTGTATTGTTGTACATCAGCGAGCGCCGGTTCGAGTCACGCACGCAGTACGTATTTACTATAATTAGACATAGTCTTTACCTTGCCGTTTATTCGGTGTTATTTGCTTACTTGTATCTCAGATCAAATTGGCTACAAACGTGATCATGGAACAAAAAACATTCTGTTAATGAGGGCGCACAACACACACAGGTGATAGGCACATATTTTTAATTTCCGATCAACGTTTCTGGACAGAATAAAGTATCATCGATACATATCAGCAGGCACATACTAATACTCTATATATGTTGTCAATGAAGGCGTACGACACATTTACCTCGTGTAAAGTTTTGTTTTCGCTTTACAACATGATAAGAAAAAACGAAAATTTTTAATTATTTTATCCATGAGGGCGCACGCACAACGCAATGCCCTAATATCAAGATATATTTTTTATTATGATGAGCAAATATACAATCAAGATACAATTAGTATGTGTAATTAGCACCCACTGGATGAAATAAAAAAAAACTGTAGTCACCTTATTCGCATCTGCTTTGTCGTGCGTGTTTATTCGGTAAAGTGTGTGAACGGTATCATCCACATGTTAGTGCTCTCCACACATTCTATATATTCTATTTTTTGTTAGTTATGTTTGAGTTTTGTTTTGGCCATACTTCATATCAACAGCCTTACTATGATGCATTTATGAGGTGTTTGTATCTTCAGTGTTTACTTCACACTTTGAAAAACTGAATCATCCGATCCCTAAACGTTACGTTACGTAAACAGACAACAGGAAACTTCGAATTTGTAAATACTTTACTCCAGCTGCCATGTCTGTTTTCTATGCTTGACTGCCGATGGATCTATTTTCGGTAGCGAAGCGGGTAAAAATGACAAAGGCAGCTAAAGTATGAATACTGGAAAATTCGAAAACAATGTAAAGCGAATCCGAACGATAACCCGACGTTACCCCGATTTCAAAATGATACATCGGACCAGGTCGTATTTTATGCATCCACCTGTAAAACTTGTTTTCTGGCGACGTCCTTTTCGTCAAGTTTTCGTCAAATGTGTCTATCTTCGGAAACACTCGGCACCGTAAAAGTGTACGTCCGGGATTTCCAAAAATTATAACACTATTTTTGTAATTGCTTTGAACACTGCGATTACTGCACTGAATTGTTTACGCCCTCTATGTCTGTGGATTCTATTGTTTTTATCCCACAATCCTCTCGGATTAAAATGGCTTCCTGTGATACACGAGAGTATGATGATCTCGATGAACTCGACATTGCGTTTGATGCCATTGTTTTGGCTGGAGAACGGTAAGTTGTAGCTATAAACGTTGCCAACACACTTTCAGAATTTGAAAAAAAAAATAAAACTCGTGTTTTATTTCTGTCATAACACCATTTGTTGACAGTCCCGGAAGTAGCTGTATCTTGAGGGCTCATACCACTATTAGAACAACTCCGCAGACGACAATGTTTTGTTAGCGTTTGATTGAATTTCTCCTGAAAAAAAAAAGGTTACAAAGATCAAATATTGTTTTAATTTGTTGGTAATGGAATTCTGGTTAGAAAAATGGATGTTCGCCAGCTTAATTTCTACAAAATGGATCAAAAACAAAACACACAGGTTTGTCAGTCTTTCTAACCCAATAGTCTCAGAATCGAGAGTTGTCCTGTTGCACAGGTACCGGTGAAAAGACATACACACACATGTTATAACAAAATACACCAACATCATCAAAATAATTTACCATTCAGCTGTTCATGATGAATCGTGTATAGTAAGGCAAACGTGTCCCTGGATGTGCTCGAATAGAAAAAAATCTTTTTTTTTTAGAGGGCTGTGGTTTGACGAGATGCTAATGATGAATATAATAACTATTTATCTGTAAATAAGGTCTTCTCAGAAACCACAAGACGAATAAGACAGGGTACCTGACTTCTGTTCCACTGATTAGCCATTCTTTATTGGTGTCTGGAATTGCTGTTATATTTTGACTTCGCAGTCAGTAAGGGTTACATGTTTTCCCTACACACTGTGTCAGCTGTTAGTTGCCACAGCAATAAAAAAAAAAAACAGCAGTTGCAATAAATTTGCTTGGACAATAAGAAAAATATACAAGTCATTCCAGACATAAGATTTAAGAGAGTGAGTACAACAAGCGAGTCATTTGTCAGATATCTATGCTAACATGAGTTGTATTTGCTATGGAGAGCGATAATGTGAAGAAAAAACTATAAAAAAAAATACATTACACAGTAGTTCTACTCTGACATTCTAATGGTCAAGCCTTTTATGTTCCTGTTTCCTGTTGTCTACAACAGCTTCTATGATGAAGGCTACAGTGATGGGTATACAGCCGGAAAACAAAAAGGTTTACAAGAGGGAGAAAATCTAGGAAAAAATAAAGGAAATGAAATTGGTTCTGAAGTTGGATTTTATATGGGATTTATTTCAACATGGAAAAAGTTACTTGAAAAAGAGTCTGATAAGAATCCAAGGTAAAGTCATGATTTGAAATTTACTATATTATGTAGTGGCACTTCATCTATGGGTTTTCTTGCATCAGATTCAGTGTTCATATGTTTAATCAAAAATATTCGTGTATGGTTACATGTGTATGTTATTGTGTGTACGATTTAACAAGAGAAAATTGTACATTGAAAACAATGCACTCAAACGTGTTAAGAAAATGAATATTTTAATGAAGACAGATTATAAAGGTTGTATCAAATGAACCATTAGTGTGAAATCGCATTTTACACATAGATATAATTTACTTATTTTGGGTTGAATCAAATATTATTGGCTGTTAGCCAAGTTAATGGGCAAAATTAGACCCTTGTTACAGGAATATGGCTTGGTATATTTTTGACGCAATATCACAGAATGATTGTCAAATACAGTTTATTGACATGGATACCATGAAACGGCTGTGTTTTCTTTCCCTTCAATTATCATCATTTGGTAGTTCTAATGTGAATTAAATTCAGTTTCATTGTTTAGCAGTTAAATGTCATTTGTCTGCCATGATTGGCAAGTCGAAATAAAAGTGTCTGCAATTTTATAAATTTAGGTGATTTGTGTCTTTCAAAATTGCAACTAGAAATCCTGCGTATAATGATTGAGATGCATCATGGGAGTACTACCA